AGATCTGCTGTACAAAGAAGAATGAACCCAGGTAGGGAGAGGCAAGGCCGGCTCCAGGGTTTTGGCCGCCCCAAGCAGCCAAAACAAACAAACAAAAGCCGCGATCGCGATCTGCGGCGGCAATTCGGCGGAGGTCCTTCACTCCCAGGCGGAGTGAGGGACCGTCCGCCGAATTGCCGCTGAATACCTGGACCTGCCACCCCTCTCCGGAGCGGCCGCCCCAAGCACCTGCTTGAGAAGCTGGTGCCTGGAGCCAGCCCTGAGGAGAGGGATGCACACCCTCTGCACAGCACAGAACTTAGCTGACAAGCGTGGAGCCCAAGGAAGGGCGTATGGCAGGAACCTGTTTGGGATGCACTGGAGCCACAGAAGTCTACTTCGATCCTTAGCCCTGCCACTGAAATTTCTAGTGCCCAGCCTGCTACTTGACCTATTATTATTAGGTCATAATCATAACTAGTACAGAACCTTAGAGTAGTGATATTTGTCTGCTTCAGGTCTAGGCTGAAGATACTGATATTAAAACAATAACTCTGGTCACTGTTTAGGAGAAAGGGAGAGGGATTTCTGTGTTTTTTTATGATGAGCCAAGTGTCTTTAGATGAGTAAGGTTCTCTGCTGAATCAACGTAGCACCTATAAACCATACATGGAGAGCTAAACTACATACTGGCAAATAATTAAGTAGCTTGTTCCAAAATGAAAAAAAAGAACCTGTTTTGATTATACTCTTGGAAATCAATATGGGAAGAAGGCGCAGAGGCCAAATAAATTGAAATCTGCAATTAAGCAGATGTACAAAAGTGTTAAAAAAAAAAAAAGGCACAACTTACACACACTTCCGATTCTTTAGTTTGGGAATCAGGGAGAGTGAATAAAAAGTAAGATATACAAGAGAAAGCAAAAACGCTAGGGAGCAATTTGAGATTAGAAAAAGGGGCTGTGAGGAATGAAGTGAAGAGCGCATGAGTGTGTATGACTTGCACAGTGCAGCTACAAAGTATCAGAATATTTATCAAAAAGAAATATCAATTATCCCTACAATTATATTTAAAAGAAAGTATGTTTCCTAATAAATCTGTGGAATTTTACTGGGAGGCTGGCATTTTGGAAGGAAGTGAATGTGCCTACTCTGATCACTACAGAAGACCTGTGAGTGAAGAAGGAAGTCAGTGAATGCAAGACTCTTTCATAACACTGAGCTCATTTTTGTTACCCCACTCCGAGTACCATCTCATGGATAACTTTGTTCCAGGCAAGTTTTAAAATATTCAGTTTGAGAAGAGGCAAAATCTGACTTGACTGAGTGGAAATAAAAGCCAAAGCCATCCGGATTTGATCCAGGGAACCTCCAGCTGTGGAAACACGGAACTGTTCTTCAGAATTGCAATTTTATTATGATCTATCCCCTTACACTAACCTTCAATCATGGAAAACCTGTTTAATTCTTAGAGCTTCTTTTTCAGTTCTTTACCTGGAAGCAGGTTATTGGGGAGGCATTAACCGTCCAAGTGAGAAGAATTGCAGCACAATCCTTAAAATTGACAAGACTGTAACTTCTTTGCAGCCAGGACAGTCTTTTTGTTCTGCGTTGGTACAGTGCCTAGCACAATGGGGCCCTGGTACATAACTGGGGCTTCTAGGCACTGCTGCAATACAGAAGAAATTGCAATAGTGATATGTGTCTCTTAAAAGCCAGCTGATGTTTAAGATCACAGATGGATTCAAAACATAAATTAAATGCTGAACCTGAGCTCCTGACTGAGACAATTTCCCTAGTGACTTCACAGGCTTTGTAGGTTTCTTAGCTAGCACAAAGCTTTAGTTATCAGAAATCAATGGAGGAGAGTAACAATATCAGGACTGGTCCCTATATAGGGCTCGGGACGGAACAAAATGCATATCAAAATAAGATGTGGGGCAGACCTAGAAATCCTGATATAGGGCTAGGATGGACTAGTGGATAGGGCATTGGACTGGACTGGGAATTCCTCTGTGACCTTAGACAAATCAACTGGTTTCTCAGTTCCCCATATGTAAAACTGGGATAATATTTCTATAACTCACAGTGTGGGTTCACGGATAAAACCGATTAAAATAACGGTGTGGTGTACAAATGTTTCCATTTATTTTACATGACTGTAAAATGACAGTAATGAGGGTATACAAGTAGCCAGATTTCCCAGGTAATGAGTCTGCAATTCAGGACAAAGGTTGCTCAGCTGAGCATGAAAAAATAAAAGAGGAAGAACCACCTGGGTAAACAAATGTATACTGTATATAAAAATGACATATTTATTATTCCTAATCCAAACAGACTATCAGATACCAGCTGATTTATTGTTTACAATATTATTCTTTTGAGTTTCACACATTTACTAAACAGACACCAGGTTAATGCTACATGGGCTCATCCTTAAGCATTTAACGCCTGTTCAACTGAGTTTGTGATCTCCATACATCTTAACGACATCACTGGCACCCAGACACTCCGACTCCAGCTACTGGCTTCACTGAAAGCTTATCACATTGGCAGATCTAGATGGTTCTTTTGTTTGGGGGGGGAAGTAATCCTCATAATGGTAACTGGAAGCCACACTGAGGTGACAGAAATGGTAAAATGACATGTCTGTAACTTGCATACTAAAGGGACAGAAGGATGGGATTTTAGCAGGAAGAGCATCTAAAAAGGATGATGAAAGAAAAAAAGATTCTCCCTCCAAATGTTTTTTCTTACATTTTCTGGTTGGTTGTCTTTCCTGTACAGCCCTGGCCTTTCCCCTCCACCCCACAGTGTAACTTATGGCAGGGGCTCTCAACCTTTCGCTTTCTGAAGAGCCCCCAACATGCAATAAAAACTCCATGGCCCACCTATGCCACAACAACTGTTTTTCTGAGCCAGGGCCGCCATTGGGGGCAACAAACAGGGCAATTGCCCAGCACCCCACGCCACGGGGGCTCAGGCTTCAGCTTCAGCCCTGGGTGGTGGGGCTCAGACTTCGGCTTTCTGCCCTGGGCCCCAGTGACCCTAATGCCGTCCCTGCTCTCTAGTTTACTTTGGCAGACCCCCTGAAACCTATTCACATTCCCCCAAAGGGCCACGGACCCCCGGTTGAGAACCTCTGACTTATGACACTACGTGTGTTTCTATCTATCTATCTACCTAAGTCACTTATATGGCCCACATCACTGGAGTATGAACACCTCACAGTCTTAATGTATTTATTCGTATAACACCCCTATGAGGTAAGACAACAGTATCATCATTTTACAGATAGAGAATGAGGCACAGAGAGATTAAGTGACTTGCCCAAGGTCACATTGGCAGTCTGTGGCACCGAACCCAGGATCCCAGAGTCCCAGGTTAGCATCCTCATCACTTCCTCTCTGTTTTATATCACCTTTAGACATGGTCCAATTGTTTTGTTTTTATTTCTTTTTCGGTATTGCCCTATTTAAAGGCTAGACATATGTGTCTATACACTATGCATCTTTCATGACATGGGAATTCCCTGAGATTCAGTCAACATAACTTACTATCTGTACATTAACATTATGGCATAATGTAGAATTTGCCAACTTCTCCTACAATTAAAGGGTGCAATGTATCTCAATTAGCAAACAACAAATAGAGAGCTCCCCCCATCTGTGCTGACTGCCTGTTGTTGATCTGCACTTTCAAATCTACTTCCAAAATGCACGGTTTTCCCATTCTCCCATTCTCCCTCAACGTATATGGTCTGATAAAATCAATGCAGACCTATAAACTCACCTTTAATCTGCTTTTTATGGGAGTCAATATTCTAGCTTTTAAATAAGAAGGGGGAACGAAGCTTCTTTTAAAAACTAAAATAAAACTAAAATAAAAACATGTTTTTCTCTTCCATCATCTATGAATACTTCTGAAATGAAGCCTCTGAGATCATATCATAACCCCCGCCCCGCCACCGCTCCCAGACAGGTACCATTCTTGGCAGTCTAGCACAGAGGCTAAGTACTAATGGGCAAAGAAAATTAGATTTCCTCTAAGTATATAGGCTGGGCAGTGCAGAGGACATTAAATCACTGTACCTGTATTATAGACAGAAAATATCCTTTAGATTACCAATCTGGCACCTTTAGCAGAATGAATTTTTACCTTTCACACACACTCATGAATTACCCCCAATAGAACTTGAATATCTCTTTGGAAAACAGATTGTACTTGATCCCTTGTACGCAAAAGTCAATTTAACAAAAAATAAAACGTCTAAAATCCTTTTACTTACTATTGTTACAAGTAACACCCAATATTCTTACAACTGAAAGATGGGAATGTATTTCTTCTTCAGTTTGATCATGATGTTCATTTAACTACATTTTGTGTCAGTTTCACTGTTTCTCATATAGCCCATTTCCTTCTGCGGTTTGTGCAGGTCTTCCACACAGCAATAGAGGAAAGAAAAACTGTCTAAAATGAGGAAATGTGAATGTAAAGCCATAAAAACTGGCAGTGAACCCAGGGGCAGGTGTCATAGCTGAAATGACTTTTAAAAAAAAAAACCCACAAGATTAAAATATTTTGATTAGTTGTCAAGTTGACAATATTTCTTTATTAACTGCCTCAAAAGAGAGGAAGTTTGAGGAAGAAAACCCCTTCAGTCCTTTTTTACAACACACAAATTAATGGAAAAAAAGAAGCCAGGGACTAAGTGTCACAGTATATTAATTGTTAATAGGAGAGATGCTGCAATCATTAAATAAAACCTACTTCAAAAAAGGCCACAAACAGCAAGCCTTTGAACAAGTCTCATCTAATCTTGTTCCATGAACACTACATTAGAGTGAAATTATACTTTCTGTGCATTATGTTTGGAGCCTGTTATTAATGTTTAATTGCATCTCATTTTCAATGTGTTGCTATATGTCAAAACATCACTAAATAAATATGATCTGACAGGTGGCAAAAAGCACCAAAGACACCCTATTGCTGTTATATCATCCAAGCTAAAGTTAGTCAACAGGTGCAGATGATATTTTCTACACTTACCTTAAAATTAATTTGCATCATGGGAAGAAGGTGAAGCAAAGTATTGTTCCAGTCCATGGTGATGAGGGAATTAACAGCTGCAGACTCTAAGCACTGCAGTGTTTTGTATTTATCTTGGGACATGCTCACTTTAGAGCCCAGAACTTGAGCAATTGCTGTAGGGTGAAAGGGAAAAGATCAGACATGATGAAGAGACAGTTTGCAAATAACAAAGATTTCCATTGTTGTTTCTGAGATGTTCCTGATCATCTCACTGATTCAGTGATCACCATTACAAAAATCCATGCTTGCCAACAAAGCTATTTCACATTCTAAAATATATAGAGGAGAACTGTGATAACTGTTGGCAAACACTGATTGCTGTACTGTAGCTTCAGAATTATTTGCAGGGAGAGGAGTAGTAAAAGTATATTAATAGGTTACAAATCATACCTCTTCAATAATATATTGATGTTCAAGGGAGCAAACTGACATTTTTTTCTAAGACGCTAGAACCTGGTACAGTTCTGAAGAAGGGACAAACAACCCATGTTAATGATGGCCTGAATTTCAGTGAGAGAAATTCTAGTACCAATGACTTTGAAAATCTTTTTAAAAGTACGAATGTTGCATGGCTGTCTGCTCTACAAAGTACAGTCAGGTAATCACTGTGCTGATTTAAGCCTGGGGCACAACAGATTTCCTTAAAGACAGAAAATAGCAGAAAGATGCAGTTAATGGCTGGGAAAGTTTTTAATAAATTGTTCATTTGTATGACTTGCTTTCATTTTACAGGGAAATACATATCACCCTTGGAAACAAGTGTTAATAGAATTGAAGTTTAAAAATAATTACATTTCCTTCACTGTGTTACTAATAGCACTTGAAATTATTAAAATTGAAAACAAGTTTTATAATCTCACCAGTGATGCTGGGTTGTTGTTTTTTTTTAAAAAGTAAACTATTGGCACTTCACTTGGTATGGTTAAATAAATTAGATTGCTTAGTTTCACTTTCTGTGTGGAGCCACTTTGTGCATTCTATGCAATGGCACAACATGGTTTGGTTAAGTTTGCAAACATGGCAGATGAATGTTTCAATCAAACTTGTTTTTAGTTGAAATTTTAAAAACTTATTGACATTTTAAAAAATTAATATTAGATTTTAAAATGTACTTTCTTTTAGGGCTGTCAAGCAATTAAAAAAATTGATCGCGATTAATTGCACTGTTAAACAATAATAGAATCACTTTCTGGTGATATTGTAAATGAGAAGCTGGCAGCATTATCTCCCACAAATGTAAACACACTTGTTTGTCTTAGCGATTGGTTGACAAGAAGTAGGACTGAGTGGACTTGTAGGCTGTAAAGTTTTACATGGTTTTGTTTTTGAGTGCAGTTGGGGAGAATCTATATTTGTGAGTTGCACTTACACTATAAAGAGATTGCATTATGGTACTTATATGAGTTGAACTGAAAAATACTATTTCTTTTGTTTACCACTTTTACAATGCAAATATTTGTAATAAAAATAATATAAAGTGAGCTCTGTACACTTTGAATTCTGTATTGTAATTTAAGTCAATATATTTGAAAATGTAGAAAAACATCCAAAAATAGTTGCTAAATTCCAGTTGGTATTCTATTGTTTAAACAGTGCAATTAATCGCAATTAATTTTTTTTAGTTAAATTGTGAGAGTTAACTGCGATTAATCGACAGCCATACTTTCTTTTGCTATCCACAAAATCTAAATGTTGAGCCTAAGCTACCTTCATGCATACTTTAAGGTAATGCTCATTTTACATTCATTCAGAGATGAATATATTCATTTTGATTTGATATGTCCATTTACACACCTAGAAAGACCTTTTCTTTTCCAATGGAATAGGTTCCACAGACGACCAATGTACGTGGGTTTAGAGTTACTGTCTCAAAGGCAGTGTTGATAGCAAACTGGATAACCTCTTGTTGAGAAGGAAAAGTATATTCAGGACTGCAGTATCTAATAAATGGAAATTGGATATGAATATGTAATAGAGCATAATACAGGAGGCATCCTACTTTATAAGTAGGCTTTGTCAAAAACTGTACACAACAATGACATTAGTTATTCGTCAATATCAATTCAACTTATTATTTACTTATTAAAAATCATGGTGGCATATGGTAATTTTTTAAAGATTAAACTTTAATCTTTTTCAATAAATACATTTTAAGTTATACTATGCACACTTTTCTATATGCACATTTAAGAACACTGCCAATATTCACTCATCTGACACTATGACTACTGAAATCTTTCCCTCTTTTGAGTACTATTTTTATAAAGCTGGATGTGTGTGTCACATACTAATTACATCCATAGGTCTTATTTTTTGGTATGCACATAGTTGTCATATAAGGCATTATTCATTCACAGTAATAGAATATGGGTCAGAAAATAAAAGAATTGCAACTGGGCATTAGTCATTATCTATTGAAAAACAGTTTCATATGGATGAATCAACGACAGGTCTAACGAAAAATTGGACAACTGACCCGAACATTTAGCAGCCTTTCATTGTTTGAATGTTTGTTTCTTGCATTAAGGGCCTGACCTGTATAAAGCCAGTTTCAATTTTATAAACCTCTGCTTTTACAGGGACAAATGGCACTCAGAATTGAATACCACTTATGATTAGTTTGGCCACCTCAAATGAATACTGCAAAAACCTTTATGCCACACATAATGATTATATCCCTATTTACATAAAGTCAACAGACATTATGTAAATGGCCTTTTAACAAATACCTTATTTCTTTACATACCACTCATCTGAGTTAAGTGAGTATCAAAACACAATGTCACTCATATTATTAATTTTTTTAGATATAAACAACTATTATTGGACACACGGTTGTTGTTGGGACAGGGAAAGAAGGATATACTAGCTTACGTAGTATCCAAGTACAGGGTGTGAATCTTTCGACTGATCAGAAGAGGACATTGCTCCATAGAAGGATCTGCCCTGAAGTCCCCAGTGTGCAGCATGACAGTTCCATTGGGAAGGCAAAAAAGGATCATTGTGGCACCTGGACAACTAGGGGGAAAAAAACAACACAACATATTCTTACTTCCAAAGTGGCATCCATTACCACACAAACTACACTGCTTTCAAGCAGTAGTGGAGATAAAGCCTGGTAAAGCACAGATAATCAGCCCCACGCATTGGCAGATCGAGACCGAGAAACTCCTGCTTTCTAATGCTAGCTATGCCATCTACTTGTCTCACGACCATAAACAAGCCACCACCTCTCACGTGTCTCAGTTTCCCCATCTGAAAAATGTGGATGATATTAACTGCCCACAGTGCTGTTGGGAGATTAATATCTACACGGGATTTTGAAGTTGCGAAGTGCTATTTAAGTGCAAAGTTTCATACGTTTTCCAATTCCAGTGAAGCTCAAAAAATAAACCCCTGTTTAAGTCCTATTAATAGGCTACAATTTTTAGGTTAGATGGACAATGGGAAAACAACTACACCTAACAACTAATAAAGCATGGGCTGCCTCTTGTGTTGATCAGTCTTTCAGCACGTGTGGCACAAATGATGTCCCAGGCCCATCTTTTTATGTTTATCAGTCTCTCTGGTCCAATATGAATTGGAAATGGCAGACTGGGGAAAGAAGAGGCATTGTTATGATTTAGGAAAAATAGAAATTGAATAATTGTAGGTGCCATCTTCAGTGCTGTGGGAGTTGGTGCAATATTTGCTTTGTAAGTTCTCTTTACAGATTTTAAACAATTTATTGTGGGGTAGGTACCATTCCCTGTTTGCTATGATTGCAGTGAGTCCATTGCTCCTCGTGCAGCTCCTCACCAAAGTTAGTTTGTTTTGCAGGGCAGACACTCAGACTGGACAGCCAAAATAGGAGTATTTTGGACATGAGTCATATACAGAAGTTTAAAAAAAAAAAAGGAAGCACTGGCCATAGATCATAGCTTAGAAGACAGAGATGGTAAGTGCTCCAAAATCTTGAACTTTATACCTATAGTTTATACTCCTTTTAAAATGAAGGGGGAAGAAAACACTGAAAAATGTCCAAATTACATAAGCTGCAAGGCTTCTTTCATTCCCAGCAAGCGTTTTCAAAGGACTTGCAAGGAATCTTATCTTTCAACCATAAACTAGTCCTAAGATAAGTTTTATTCAAACCAGCTGTAACAGAGTTCTGCATTTAAATTTATATACTAAAAAGAGAGGACTTTTATTCCAATACACAAATAAGGTGCCAAGAGGCAAAATGATCAGAACTCAGGACTGAAAGCCAGGAGCTACCGAATTCTAATCCTAACATTACCAAAGACTGTCTACATGGCCTTGGGCAGTTAAGGTCTGGCCCTGCACCACTGAATTCAATAAAAGCTTTGCCAAAGATTTCAATGGGAACAAGATCAGGTTTTTTTAGAGCCGAATTTTCAAACTGTCAAATGATTTTTGTGTCCAGCTTGAGATCCCGTGGGCCTGATTTTCACTATCTGAAGATCCCATTGTCATCAGCAAACTGTAAAGTTCTTAACATCTCTGAAAATAAGGCCCAGCGCGCCTCACATTGGGCATTAAAAACTGAAGCACTCAGAATCTGGACCACTTTGGAAACCCTAGTCCTAAATCTTGCTGTGCTTCTATTTTCTTACCTACTTCAGAGAGGTGTTCTAAGTATCAATCAGGATTAATGTCTGTAAGAAATGTGAAAATTAAAGCACTCTGTATCACTAGCATCTAGATATCTTGATGATGAGCTCATTACAAATGCACAAAGTATTTTTAGGGTAAAATTTTCAAAGGAGCCGAATTCCCATTCTTAAAAGTAACTTTGGCACTTAGAAGACTAAGTCTCATTGGCATTCAATGAGATTATAAAATAAATATATGGAGATGTACCTATCTCATAGAACTGGAAGGGACCCTGAAAGGTCATCAAGTCCAGCCCCCTGCCTTCACTAGCAGTCCCAAGTTTTACTCTCCTATGTCCCTAACTCACTTTCGAAAACAACATTTATGCTCCTTAAGCACTTTTAAAAAAATTATCCTTAGTCTTCCGGATCCACTGAAACCAAAAAATCATGAAGGTATAAACCATTTCTAAACAATAATTTATCTTTGACATTCACTATTTGCAAATGATATATATAATTCAGCTGCAAAGATACATACTGATTGGCATCAAGCAGGACCACTTTGATTCCATTCACTATACACTCTGTATCCATTGGCAATGTATGGACATACTGTTCTTGCACTCGAAGTTTACTCTTCACCAAGTTGCCAGTTATCTGCAAAAGAGAAAGAGTTTAGTACTGAGGGCTGGTCTACACTACATAGTTAGGTTGGCATAAAGCAGTGTATGTTGACCTAATTATGTCAGTGTCTACGCTACAGCCTTCCTTCTGCCGATGAAAGTACCCTACTATATTGACATCATAACTCCACCTCCACCAGAGGCTTATGTCGGTGTAGTCAAGGCGACACAGTATCTGTGTAGACACTGTGTCCCTTACACTGGTGTCTTGTAAATTTCAGGGTAGGAGAATGGACCCTGCTCCCAGCTGGGAGCCAGGGCAAGAAACCCTGGCAGCTTCCAACCCTGCTCCCAGGTGGGAGCCAAGACGTGAAATTGACGAGGCTGCCCACCTCCCAGTTGGGAGCGGACCGAAAAGTTGGGGCAGATGGACCCTGCTCCCCAGGGGCAAGAAGCCCTGGGCAGCTTCCCATAGCTCCTGGCAGGGAGGGGAGAAGCCCCAGGAGGCTTCCCCTGCTTCCAGTGGGGAACAGGGAACAGAAGCGGTGGGCCATCTAACAGGAGCCCACGAGCCTGTGGGGCAGCCGGGCTTCCTGTAGGGAGCTGCCAGCAGAGCTGAGTGACTGGGCTCTCAGCTCCCCACACTGCCCTTCTTAGGTCGGTGGAAGCGCTCCTGGTGAGGACACGCACCCCCAACCCAAGGAGAATAGTGTGGACATGCACCACAGCAGTAATTACTGTGGTGGCTGTAAGTCGACCTAATATAGGTCAACTTACATTTCTAGTGTAGACATACCCTGAGACAACAAACAAAAAGGACCACATCAACCCCATGTGCTTTACCTGATAATTAATGTAGAAAGACAAAGAAAAACATCTAAATATTTCAGGGGAAAACAATTAATGGGAACAAAGTTCACTTTTTCTGTGCTCAGGTTTTATTTTGTAAAAGTCATTTTTCCAATGGTGCCATCAAGTAAAAACCCAAGTATAAATACCACACAGTATGGCTAGAGTTATGGCAAGGACCATTACAAACAGAGGTAGCATCTCTGGTGTTTAGAGCCTGAGACTTGGAGCCAGAAACCCCTAAGTTCTACTCCTGACTCTACAACAGACTTTCTGCCTGCTTGCAGGAAAAGTAATCTGTATGCCTCCACATCCCAATATCGATACTTGTTTATATCACAGGGATGGTGCGTAAGATTCTTTAAAGATATAAGCATTGTGGAATTTCTAAATATTATTTAATTGTATTAGATTATATTGTAAATATTTAGAAGGATCTCAAAGCCACAGAGCACAATGTGTGCATGATGAAAGATTATGGCTTCAACACTGGCCTGTGCTTCAGCCTCTTATAACATCTGCTATATCTGGGTTACAGAAACTCCTGGGTAGGGGGAGAACCTCTAGTCCCCTCACGTACTTCCTTGCAGCTGGCTCAAGAAAGAGGATCTAATAAGGCCTTCCTTACATCTGTCTGATCCATCACTACTGTAACAGACCTTTGGAGCTGTTAGCAACTGGTGCTAGTTACAGCAGCCTCTGGGATACCGGCCTGATACTTCCTTTACCCAAATTAGCCATGCCAAATGCTCCTCTGCCACAGGAGAGGTTCTGGTTCTATATCCATAGAATCTGAACACTGTATTCTTTTGGTTTTCATTCATAGTTGCATACCGATTTGGTAATTATCAAGTAACCCTAGGAAATCTTACCTTATTACAATAGATTGGAAATGTACATTTTTTTGTTAGGCCAGTATAATGATCAGAATGGAAATGAGTGAGGAAATAGGCTACGCAACCTTCGATTTCTCCATACTGAAATGCATCAACTGTAAAACCAGTTCCTACAACATAAATACAACAGGAGCAAGTCAATTAATATGCATGGAGAAGCTACAGCCAGTTACTGGTCAGATTTTCTTTTCTTTTAAGTAGAAAATGCATTAAAATAGTGAATTCAACAAAACAGGAGTATGTGAGAACAAATGCAACTTGCAGACATGAGCATTATGCAAACAGCAAAGAGAGAAATAGCTTCACTGATTAAAGTCATAACTAAGCAAACTAAACAATCTTCAAATACAAACATCGACACATTCCTCCCCGACACATTCCTCTTCAAATACAAACATCGACACATTCCTCCAACAATACCTGTTGTTCATCTGCCATCCTACATTTCAATTATACCTGATAATCTGAGTAAACATACATCTGTATTCAAAATGGCATTTCTGAAATGCTTACACAGTGCAAGCTTCCCAAAGCACTGACTATGTATTTCACTTCCAATCTGCATCATGCCAGTTCCATACATATAACACTCTTGCTAAATGTTACTACTATTAGCAGGCAATTGACCTGGGTTCTTAAAAAAATCTCTATCTGCTGATGGTTATATATCATAGATTTGGTATTATATATTTAAATAAGTTATTTCTCATGATAAAAACAGATGTAAGGAGTCTTTTCTATTCTCTGCAAACGAGAAATCAATAATGTAAAAAAACTATCAAATTTATTGGCAGACATTTTCTTTAAAATTTGATTATATATTCCAAAAATCACCAAAAATTTCATATAATTGTTCTCACGCCATTCAACCCATTAAGATGTATCCATTTGAAAAGTACATTTCCAAGTTATTTGAAAAATTATAGAAAATAAAATCAGAAATATTTTGCATACAACCAATGTGGTTCAAAACAAAAGCCAGACAGGCAGCCAAGGAAACTGACAATTATACTGTAGATATGGGGCCCGATCCTGCAGACTGGTACATGCAGAGGATCCGCAGGACTTAATTGACATCATGGGGCTCCATACAAGTTTAAGGGTCTACCTGCATGCATCAGGTTGCTGGATCAAGGTCACAGACAGTAGGCTACATGCTTAGTACATTTACTACCCCAACTCCCATCTTCCTTGTATCTTCAGCCAGAATTCCAGAATCAAAAAGCACAACTAAGATGATCCTCTGTCGGTGATCTGAAATCTGTGAAGTTTAAACTTTTCAAACTATTGATCAGTCTTCCTTATACTTTGGATAGTTATTTGAGGAGATTTTGGTAAATTCTGAGCTGTTTCTTTAGCTTTAGAAAGTATTTTTTAAGAACGCTACTAATTAACACTGGAGAATATCATTCTAGTGTAATACTATACCTTAAACACAAAATGAAGCTCAATTAGTGTACTTGGTCTATGGTAAAGTAATTGCAAGAGAGACAAACATTTTGTTCTATAAATGGCTATTAGCCAACCTTTCTTATGGCTTCAAAATAAGTTATGTAAAAGTTACAAGTGATGAATTAGACAAGGCAAACATTAGTTGAGAGATTTGAAAAGATAGGATTTAGGAGCATAAGTCTCACTTTCAAAGGTGCTCCTAAATCCCTTAGATGCTTTTGAAAATCTCCCCCTTAGGTGACCTGCCCTGTAAAACATAATTTAAGTCAAAAAGTTTATTTTTATAGCAGTATCTTTAAAAGATTATATTTTTACAAAATTATTTCCTTCTTTCATTGTTGCTCGCTCATAGAATGAGCCGCTGTAATCTTGTAAATGTCTATGGCCCTGATCCCTACTAACTTCAAAGGGGGTCCACCCAAGTGGAAATCATTAAAGGATTGGCGCCTAAAAGGTTTTTTACATTGAAACAATAAAAAAGCCTCGTATTAAAATGAGAAAAAAGCTATATCACTAGACGGTTCTAAATTCAACCATTAGAATTAAAAGTCACAATTACTTCTCACCTGGTATCTTCTTATAAAAGGGACACTTTTTGTTTTTTGTTCCTTCTTCGGTAGAAGATGATTCTCTAAATCTTTTTCTCCAACTTCGCTTCACACCAGATGTTGTATCTACACAGACTCCATTTTTATTTGAGCTTTCTGTGACCGCATCTATGTCCCCCACAGATCCTTCAGCTTTTCTCTTTTGTTGTCTGGGCCTCTTTCCATTGGGAGTTATAGGACTTGAGGCTTGTGTTCCCTCACCAAAATGTTTCTTTCCTTTGTTCTCTTCTTTTGCTTTGGGTTTTAACCCAAAGAAAACACCAATGTCCATTTGTTTCAGTTCTTTGGCTGAAATAGATTTGGCTTTCACATTTGCAACAGAAACAGATGGCAGCATTTGAGAGATCGTACTGGGAAGGGGTACAGCCGCTGTATTAGGAAGACTTCCTTCTTCCTCTATTACTGGCTGTGAACTCTTCTGGTATAATGTAGTTCCACTTGTGTTAGTAGTCATTTTATTTCTATTGATTAGGAAGTTACTAGGTTCCTTCGAAACTTCACTTTGCCTTGACAGAAAAGATTTACCACCTTCTTCTTTGACTTTCAAGGACAATGATAGATCACCCACAGCCAAGTTTGCATAATCCAAATGGCAAGTATTAAAATCTTTTAGCTCCAAATTACCTGTATTAGAAACAGAGGCACTGAATGTTGGCCAATCAAATTCCTTCTTAGTTATCTCATAATTAAGGGAAAGAGAGGATTGTGCAGTCAGTGCCCCTTGTGGGTGTTTTAACTGATTAGCAGCACTTCCTGAATTAGAGAACATGTTGTTCATGTGCTCCTGAGAAACAGGCTTAACAAAACCATCTAAACTACTCAGTCCATTCAATTCTTCACAAGGTTCATTTTGTATTATGAAACCACCTAGCTTAAGGCAGCCATACCTGTGTACTTGCTGAAGTGGAGAACAATCCAATTTAGTAAACGACATACAGCTAGATTCCTCCTTTTTGGGGCTCTCATCTTCAGAGTTCTGGGTGTGAAATAATCTCTTTTGTGAATTTTTTACTTTCTTCTCCTCCTCCTCCTCTGTTTCCTCTTCATTTTCCTCATCAGTATTAAGTGGAGAGTAGGAAATTTCACAGTCACTGAAGTCAGCTTCTGGAAGTAGCAGCTTTAACTGATTAGAATCATTCTGACTATCCAGATCTCCACTAGCTTCGCTTCCTTGAGAAAATGGAAAATCCAAAGAGTCAAGCTGGCCATTATCATCTGCAGACTGTGTAAGTAGAAGAGTCTGTTGGGGCTTTAGAATGTTTGTGGAAGACACAGTATTTACATTGGTTACATTTGGAGATTTTGCTTGTGTTGAACTCTGTATCACCAATGTATGATCCTCATTTGAGGCATTTCTTACATTCCTGGTCAGTTTCTCATGCTGTGAGGTTCCATCCACAAGGCCTGAGAAACAGCTTGAGTTAGTAGCATCAGAGCATGTGAACTTTCTCTCTGGGCTATATGTTGAAGAGCTGGCAAAATAATCCCCTGCTCTGCTTGTAGCAAGTATGAAATGGGTATAGCGCTTGTAGTGCGATGGAATGGTGGAAGTGCACAGTAGACCATCAGGACACTCTAAGGAAATAAACAGAATAACACACTCTTGATATCCTATCAAAAGGCATTTTTAGCACAAACAAATACAGTGATTTTATATTCATGTTATGGCATAACTGCTAAAAGCTTTCCCTTATAAATAGAGTTGTCTGAGGCCAGCGCCAGGCCTGAGCTATTCTGAATCACAGCAACCTGACATTCTACCTCATAGTTGTCAGCTGGGATACAATGAACTTTTTAAAATGCTAGTGAAACTATTCACAGGAATTAGTGTTTTTATGTTCAACGTTATGAAATAGTCAGTAGCTGTCTCTCTTTTTTTGTTTAACATTGTCACAGAATGTTGAGGTCCATGTCTTACTAACCTAATCCTTTTGAGAATGTTAGGATTAGTGGCTAAATCAGTGCCAAACAGCAAGAGTCTACAGCTGTTACTTTAAAGCTGGAAGTAAGGTGACAGATATATCTGCCTACAGTTAAAACTATAGAAAAACTAAGGGCTCCATTTTCATAAAACAACAGTGACTTCAAACATCCCTTCAATAAAAGAAAAAGATATAAGAAAAGGGGCAGTTTTTACTTTAAGTTAAAGTTTCCTGGCTGTGTACTTCTTGTTTTTCAAACAAAAAGAGATATATTAAAATCACAGATTAGGTTCCCGGAAGATTTACAAGGTCTCCATGGACCCATGAAAGCACTGGATCTCATCACATAGAACTGTATGTCAGAGGGTCCCAGTTCCCTTGCTCCCACTTCTCTCCCATACTAAAATAAGTCCATGATCTCTTGTGTTCTCACAGCAGACCTAGTCAATGTAGGGTTGCTAAAGTACACAGGCCCTGAGACTAAGGTTTGAAATATATCAGCGCCAGTCTTTGGTAGACCGAGCATTCAAATCTTGATTTCAGCTTCCAAATTTTGTAAGTATCCTGGAAAATCTGACAAACGGCGTGGGCCAATGTTCCTCCCTACCCCAAGAAGAGGGGCTCTGTGGCAGAAGGAAGCAAAAAATTCACTATGGATTGAGACCTAAGTGTCAGTGGTTTAGATCTCAAACCTGTGAGATGCTGAACAAGCAGTACCCTCAAGACCTTCAACTCCTATTTCAACCCAATGAGAGTTGAGTGTAACACCTCTAAGATTGGACCTTCAATCTTTATCAATGCTTCAGAAAAAGAGGTCAGACAGCCCCAGATCTGATAAACAATTAATAACAACATTGTAATAGTCATTCCAACCATACTATACTTTCTCTCAGATGCCAAACTGATGTGAGGTTCTATATTACTAAATCTGACCTAAATTTCAAGCAATTTTCTTTGAATAACCTTTACAATCTATTTGAATGGGCTATTTCTCCTCACCAGAGCCTTACCTTTTTCTGTGGATCCTTGAGTGTCCAAACATTCAGTAACATGCCACCGAGGTGTCTGGGCTAACAGTAAAGAGAAAGGCATCTGGCAGCTTGGGCAGTATCCATCATAAACTGGCCTTGCATTTGGTGTGGTTTGTTTTTTGTTACAAGTCCTGCTTCGCTTTGTTGGCGTAGTTTCACTTTCCTGGGACTGCACAATATGGCCATCTTTAGATAGATTTAAGTTCTGGTCAGGGTTTATAAGTGGTTGAATACATTTCTGTCTTGGTCCCTGTTCAGTTTTCTTAGACTTGTCCTTGTTTTCAAATGTTTTTTTATTATTCCTACCTCCACTTCCTTTTGATTTGCACTTCCCATCATTTGCTTTCTGCACAGATGTAGAGATGTTCACTGAATTATTATTTTGATATACTGACTTTGGTTTCCGAATGGATTTGTACTCCCAAATATCTTCTTCCAACCCATCATTTTCAGACATGGCAAAATAGCAACACATCAAATATTTTCCTCAGCTTTACACAATAGTATTTCAATGTTCCTAAGTCTGGGGATTGTTCTTTTAATGCTTTTCTTTTTTAATTTCCCTAGACCTGAAGCTGAAAGGCACTTGAACTCCATTTGAAATGTTACATTGGGCCACGAACTGGATAGCTATCACAGATGGGTCTGAAAGGCCATGAGCTCTAGTTTTAAAAGAACTCAGAGGAGGATTGTATAGTTTAATGCTATTGTTAAATCAAATTAAAGTGGATCATAGGTGTACTTATTTGTATATGGAGCCATTTGCTGCAGTTACTGTTCTTCCACTGGAGCGCTGTAGATAATCACAGACTCTGGAAAGCCATGTTAGAGGTTGCAAATCCACATCTGACAGAGATTCCTTCCAGGGCCTTGCGGGCCTGAAAGGTGGGAGCTTGAAAACAAATGAGATTTTAATGTGTATGTGGTTGACCACAGAACAAAAGCAGTATGAGGCGACAGACTAAATTTTTAAATTAATGGAGATATCCCATGTCCTAGAACTGGAAGGGACCTTGAAAGGTCATTGAGTCCAGCCCCCTGCCTTCACTAGCAGGACCAAGTACTGGTTTTGCCCCAGATTCCTAAGTGGCCCCCTCAAGGATTGAACTCACAACCCTGGGTTTAGCAGGCCAATGCTCAAACCACTGAGCTATCCCCCCCAAGTCTGAGTGACTTTATGGAGCAGATCCAACTCCTGCTGCAGTCAGCGGCAAATCTTCCATTGACTTTAAGGGGACTTGGATCAGGCCCTGCCTTTGGTCCATTCACACATCACACTTGTAGTCTTCTGCCTCAAAGGCACCTCTGGGCTCAGACGGCCAGCACAACAGTGGAGGGGCTGAAAACTGACCCAGTGGGAGGAGACATCCCCCATCTGGGCCAAGGCTGGGGGTCTGGAATACCTAGGATGATGAGATAGCAAGTGTGAAAAATCAGGACACTACTTTTTGTGAGGGGGGATGGGGTGTATCATTGCATATATAAGGTAAATCCCCTAATCAGGGGTGAATTAACGCCCAGGCTCACGGGCCCAAGGGCCTCAGCCATTTGGGGGCCCCCCACAGGAGCACCAGAACCTGGGTAGAAAGGGGAGGCCATGGCACTGGAACTGTGGCCCTGCCCCCTGCTCATCCTCTTCCCTCCAAGGCCCCACCTCCTGGTCAGGACAGAAGCTGGAGCCAGGAAGTGGTAAAAGCCGCCCAGGACCCTCCACCTGTCTGAGCAGGGGCCAGAGTGCCCAAGAGCAGCCCTTGGCAGGTGTACCCACCCCCTGTGCATGCTGTTGCCAGTGGGACCCAGGGGCAGGGGCTCTGGTACGGCCTCCTGCCCCCACCCCAGAGCCTGTAGACGAGCTTTGCGGGAAAAGGAGGCCCTGCCTGGCCTTGGAGGAGGAGGTGGGGAACCCCGGAAAGATCACAGGCAGGGAGGGCTCCTGCTGCTACTAGCCTGGCCTCAGCGGCCACTGCACACCTGGGCTCACTGAGTGCGAGTGCCTGTGCCTGGCTCCCGCTGGCAGGCTGCCCAC